AAAACACAAAACACAAACAGGGCTGGTTTGCGGGTCTGGGCCCTCCAGCGGGACAGGAGCGGAGGTGGCATCTCCAGCCCCACTGGTTGGCAGAGACAAAATGGGTCAACTGCCCAAGAAATGGATGTGGGAGAAGGCTGTGGAAAATAGCCCTTAAAAGTTTCAGAAACACCCCTAAGTTCATTTTTAATAGGGCGTGGAAATAATGCGTGATCATAACCATACTTTAACAAAGGCTTTTTTTCTGGGTGAATTGTCTTTCTCCCTATTCTCCCCCGTCCCCCCCTTAAATAAATATTTGTTTCAATTCTTTAAACATAGTCAAAGAAGCAAATCACTTTACTAGAAAACTGTTTAGCTTAGTGGTCAAGGCTCCCTCCCAGGGAACGATTTAACTTGCTGGTCCAGGCTTCAGTTATCCAACATTTGAGGTTAGAAGTTCAAGGTTTGTTAATTTTGAGGGATGATGTCTCTCCACAAGGGTCAAAAATGTCCAGGAAAGAAGCGAAGGTCCCAAGAGCAGCGACTCTTGCTCTCTAGGTCCGTCCTTCCCAAGGGACCCCACCACAGGAGACAACTTCTTTGGCAGCTACTTGGCAGTCCGGGGTTACGTACCACCGCCCTGAACCTTAAACCCAAGCTGTCCAGCATCACCTCTCAATTCTGTCTCCAGTGGTTCACTCGAGCTTTGGAAAACCAAATGGGAGTGGAAGAAAGACAAAGGCTTTGGCTCAGCGGAGGCAACGCATTCAGAAAGTGAAAAAAGGTTTGTCCCTGTGGAGGAAAATTGTGTAATCCTCCATGGATTTGCCACCACTGAGACCTCCTGCGGCAGGGCAGCAAGCAGCACCTTCCCAAAACGGGGAGACAGCCCCTTCTCAAATCAGCACCTGGTTTTGATGAGAGCAGCATGGTGGTGACAGGAAGGGAAAGTGACAGTCACAGGTTTCAGAGACTCTCCATCAAAGCAGCCCTCTGCCTAGCCAACACATTCAGGTGTACAGATATAATATATATGATATATATATACATTTCATACCAAAACAGAATGTGGTATGATCCACCTGGCCTTGGCAAAAAGGCCTGATTTTTTTCAATGGCTTAGTCCCACTCTAACATCTTTCAGCCTTCCTGGGACAGTCATAGGTGTCTGCAAAGGAGGAAGCCAATGACAGCCTCATGCAGATTAAAAAAATAGTAATAAAATTTCCAAGACAAGTTTGATGAGAAACGTTGGATGCACTTCCACATGGAAGACCTTGAAGAAAGTTGTAAATATTCAGGCAAAGGCTTTGCAGACAAAGGCATCTTCCACCTGAAGTGCAACTAAAGGTGGCTCAGCTGGTCCTAGAGGGAACCATGGTAACACAGTTGTAGAAAAATCAGGTAAAAGAGTAATAGCTGCTGAGTTGGCTTCAACACGGGGAACATAAATCAAAACCATCCAGAAATGACTTGGCCATGCTGTCAAGAGAGGGCATCAGCAACCCTGCGAGGTTCTTCCAGCTCCTCAAACGGGACAGACCGATTCTGGAGAGGAGGATGCACTGACCCAGAGCCCAGCTCCAGGGAGCAGGCATGCTGTGCCCGCACAGCGCCAGGAGGATCATTCTTACCCCACTCTGCAGAGCCCTTCTGAAAACTCTGGGAATGGGACTCGGCCAAAGGACAGAGCCCACTC